CAATGGTCCATACAGTGTTGTTTTGGGCCCCAATGACTTTCATTGTATGGGCAAAAACAGTTGCAACATTCTTGAGTTCAGAAACATTCTTTTTCAGTTCATGCATTTCCTGAGAATGGAACCCATGGCCTTGCTGTTGCTAGTGCCGTGCTTTACTCTTTGAGTTTCAGGAACGCCCCTCAATCAAGTTTGTTGGCCTTACTAGATGGAACTGTCAGCAGCATTGAACATCTTGTCAGTTACTGTCTTTCTTTCTTTTTTCTGCAACTCCACAGTTTTTTCTCCACAGTGAAACTTCATTGGACCAGTATCCCATGGCAAATAGCTGTATATCAAACATATCACATACACTCTGATTAATTATGACTTTTGATGCTTTTCACTTTCAGTGAGGACAAAAAGTTTTGGTAATGCTTTAGTTTGGGGACCAATTCTCAGCATTAACTAGCATGCATATTACTAGCAAATTGGCTGTTTTTTAGTACTTATAAAGCACATATTAATATTAAATGACCATATTTTAGATCCCTTAATCCTATCCCATACCTAAACTTAACAACTACCTTACTGCCTGTTAATAAGCAGCAAATTAGGAGTTTGTGGGAAAAGTCGTAGTTAATAGTTAGTTAATAGTGAGAATTTGTTGCCAAACTAAAGTGTGACCAAATTTTCCTATAATGTTTAGTAAGAAGGAGGTGTTATGAAACTCTGTGATGTTTTAACTAGTGTATTGCAAGCTTATTGCTATGGTTTTTTTTTCTATCTTAAGTGGCAAATGGTTAAATAACTCACTTCAAAATTGTGGAGAAACACACTGGTTAATGAAGGATTGTGTTCTTATGTGTTCTCAGGTGTGCTGGACCACATTACAGTCACCACAAAGGATGGCAAATTTCCACTCAACCAGCTGGGCCAGATATCCATGAAGTCTCCTCAGCTACTTGTGGTCAACATGACTGGCTTCCCAGAGGTACGGAACCAAACTACAGATGGCTTTCTAGCAGAACTTCTCAGTTCATACTGCTGCATGCAAAGTTGAGCACACACACCCCAAAAACTCACTCTTTCTCCTACTGAAACCTGAATGTGATGGACTCATTCCAGCCTGGTTTCAGAGAAATTGATTGATTGTTGGGGGAAGCCCTTTGTTCTTGGAGAACGATTGAAATGTAGGCCAAGACTCTGTGGTTAGCTGTCAGGCCAGGAAATGACCGCAAAGTGCCCTCTGGAACTTAGACCTGAGTTAATGTGTGATATCTCTCTCTCTTTTCTGTGTCTTTCTGCCTCTCTACACATTATGAGTCGGTGTCTTTCTTTTTTTTGTCTCCTCCTCCTTCCGTCACCACACTCTCTCCATTGATATATATGAGTTCTTTCTGCTTGATGTTCAGATAACCCTAATGAGATTAATGCTCTCTCTTCTTGGCCTATGTCCACTCAATACCAAAGACTCTGGTTTCCTGGTGGCTCTAAAACCCACCAATCTACCTTCGTCATCCATCCTGGGAGACTTCAAGCCAAAGATTGCATGTATGTAAGGGATGATGTTCAGTCAGCCTGTCATTATTGCAAATAAACCTTGATAGGATGATCAAAACCAAAGCACAGGGGTTTTGCATCACCCTGAAGGTGATACATGGTTGCTTGTAGCTCTGGCTTAAAGCTTTGGCCTGAAGCTTCTGTTAAGAAAAATAGTCCATTACAACATATCAGTCGATTAATAACACTCCAATTATTATATTTTATATTATATTGCATTATATAAAGGGATGCAGCCGATGCACATAAGTGGTGACCAAAATAAAAAATGCGCTGTGGAAATAAGTTCAGACCACTCATTTGCGCACCGACATGGTTGACAGCTGTTAATGCACAATCACCATTTTAGATCGACTAACTGTAATAATGTATAAGATTTCCATTCGAACTGAAAGGAAAAATTTAGGTTATGCACTGCAAGTTTTAGAGCAAAACACAAAACTCTGACATTTCATTCACTGACATGCTTCACTCGCTAAAACCGGCAGAACTTTCTTTTTTAAATATAATAGTATTATCACACTTTATTTTGTTTATTATTTTATCAATATTTAATGGGTCACAATTTGCAGTGTGAGCACCAAACCAAATCTGGTGCTCTCATGAGAACCAGACTGAAAAACTTATGTAATGAATACAGAAATATGACCAAATGAAATTTTTCTTTGTGTTAGCAGCGGGTCGGGTGACATGTTATGTTACTGATTTAACAATTAACCATTTGCAAATGGGTTTGCCTTTCTTATTCATCACCTCTATATTAACATAATACTAAAAAAGACGCAGTTTTAAAGGGTCAGTTTTCATGCTCAGATGACCATAATGCCATATGCAGCTGTTGCAAAAACTGGCCATTACCTAACAGGCCTGCAAAAAACAACACAGAGGTGACTGGCCCGGGCCGAAAGCGAACAGCTTCATGATTGTTTTAATCCATTACACACTCTTTGAGAAGAGGCTGTTGTTTTCCAGTCATTCATTAAAGGGCCGGAGAAAGTGCAGCCTTGTTGATAAACCCCAGTGGCTGTTGTGTGTTGTGGTGCAGACAGCAGTCATTAGCTTTCGCTCTCCATGTGCCTGTGTGGTATCCAGAATCATTAAGAAAGTGAGTTTTTTTTTGTTTTTTTTTTAGCCCACAGTTTCTCGAGCCGACTTTGAACCCTCTTCGCTTTTTAATCACAAGTACAGAGGGTTACAGGACTTTTTTTCCACTTACTAACCAGAACAATACTGGTTTTACCGTAAAATTATGAACCACCAAGTAATGATGGATGACGATCAGAGAGAAATCGCACGCACACAATGCCTGTAAGTGAGTCAGACCTCACAAGAAATGCATTTAACATAAGAGGAATGTGTGTATAGTACATGTGTGTATACTTTTTTTTTTGCCCATTTCTGCATGTTAGGTCAAGAAAAAGGTTAGCTTTTCTGGTTAACTGTTTTTTATAATTTTTTTTATTTTTTTATTACTGCGATATAAAATTGCTTCATTTCAGATAGGACTGAAAAATGCACCTGCACCTGCATATGTTCCGTACAAACACAAAATTATAATTTAGGGGATTCACTCCTGTATTTAAATGCAGTTGTCACTCCTGAAACTTGTGTACAGTGTGTATCCAAAACGAAATATTTCATACTAAATTAAACATGCAAGGTGGTAATGGGAGAACTTTATAGCACACTATTGTGCTAAACGTTTGTTTTTGCATACTACTTCAAATGCAGTTTTAAAGTAATAATAGGCATATAGAGTATATACTGTGCAGAATGCAGCAAGTGGGACACCAGTATTCCAGTCCAAACAGCCTAAATCCATATCCGTGAAACTGGCCCCCATGATGTATACACACTAGACTGCCTGCACACAAGTTCAGAGTGTAATCTCAGGCTAGTCTGGCCACAGGAGTTGTAATAGGTCATGAGGTGAACAGGCAGAAACCCCCAAACACAGGGTCACAGTGGGTCATCGCCCTGCACTGCAACCTCTCAGCTCCGTCCCAAGGGATCTCTCGCTGACAGCACCCTGCGGCACTTCCTACACCACACACTCCACCCCTCTACCTCGCTCTCTGGAGCTCCGTCATGGGGAGATGCTGCCCAGCTCCTTCTGGATCAAAGGGCCCGGGGTCGGGGTACTTCACTGATCTGGAAGGGGGTGGTCTAGTGAGATATGAGGGCTGGAGAGATGCAAAGGGTGTGTGAAGGTTTTGCAGCAGGTACCGCAAACCCAGCTGGCTGTCATTAGCTCTGATGTGTGTGTGTGTTTGTGTTTGTGCGATGTGTCCTCAGGCCACGGCAGCTGTGCCTTACAAGACAGCAGCATGGGACTCAACCCGGAGGTGGAGGGCACCATTATCAGGGTGCCTGTTCCCAAGTGAGTGTTTTACCGCCCACGGCCTGAATCCCCATGACCACTCTCACCCTTCCTATTGACAGCACTTTCTACAAGCTTTGTTTGCTTTCACTCCAGTCCCTGTCTTTCTGTCTCGCTCTCATCCTGTTTGTCTGTGCAATGCTAACGTCTCTTTAATGTGTTTTTTAGCTTGTTAAGGTAAACATCTCCATCACTATTGGACATTTTGGCTTTAGAGGGGTTTTGGGAACTTTTCAGTTGGCCAGACTGGGAGACCATCTAGACCAGCTGAAAACCTGCTTGATTGGTCTGGGAGACCAGCTTAGGCTGGTTTTAACTTTTTTCAGCAGGGTGAAGGAGAGCCTCTTTTCACTAGGGAAAATTAACAGTCACCCTATGAACAATCCAGAACACCTTAGTATCAACTGTGTTAGCTACATAGCTGCACCTTAGCAACCACCCAGAACACACTATCAACTTCATAACAATTCCAAAGCAGCCATTCAGAACATCCTAGCAACTGCATAGTAATGCCCTAGGAACCACCTAGAATGCTTTATCAGGAACACTTTGGAAACCACTCAAAACATATAGTATAACATACCAACTCCATAGCAACCACCCAGAACTGCATAGCATCACCCTAGCAATCACCCAGAGCACACTATCAAACCAAATAAAAACTCTCAAGTAGCTACTCAAGTTACTCAAGTAGCAACTGCATGGTAATGCCCTAGGAACCACCATGAGCACCTTAGCAACCATCCCAGAACACATAGCAACAGCATACCAACTCCCTAGCAACCACCCAGAGTGGCCACCCAGAACACCCTTACAACTGCATATCAGCACTCTAGCAACTACTCAAAACACACTAGTAACCTCATATTGGGAACCATCCAGAACAATCTACGAACCATATAGCAATTCTCTAGCAACCACTCAAAGCACTCTATCCACTATATAGCAACTCCCTAGAAACCATCCAAATACTCCATCTATATATCAGCACCCTAGCAACCAAATACACTCTAAAAAATTATTCAGGGGACCTGTTACCACAACTTAAATAAATGCATGGTTGCAAGTTAAAAATTCTAATTTAATGATTTAATTAAACTTTTTAAATTTTTAAGAAACAAGCCGCAATACAACGGAAACAAGCAACAACACAGCGAAATTGGCGCAACACAACGGAAACAAGCCACAATACAATGGAAACAAGCGACAACACAGTGAAATTGGCGCAACACAACGGAAACAAGCCACAATACAACGGAAACAAGCAACAACACCGCTTGCACACAAATTGGGCCTGTATATATTTTAATTTGTTACTTATTGACGCGTGGAGCTCCTCTTTAATAAATGTGTTGCTTTGTCCTTTTAAGCTCTGTTTGAGTTGAATGAGCTGAGGGTTTTAATGCAGGGCCTAATGATCTAACAAAATCCAAATTTTGATATCCAATATATTTTTGTGAACCCTTGAGGTTTCAATGGGGCAATACATTATATATACGCAAACTATGAAAATTTGGGCTTTGTACTAAAGTTAATGGTCTAACAATGTTAATCATTTTAAACCGCTTTTACGGCACCAGGCTTTTTAAATGACACTTTAAATTTGCATAGCTATATAAATGACTTGGCTAATGTTTTTTTTTTTAAATGGTTTTCACAGTATTACAGTAAAATGTCCAGAATTTGGATTTCGTCAGACTATTATCTCTGGTATAAAGTCCTTAGCTTTAACGCATCCTCTATAGTGGCCAAGAAAGGGAGCGGGAACATTTCTGTTGTTTTGTGACTTGTTTCCATTATGCTGTGGCTTGATTCCGCATTGTTAACAACTTGTATTTGCTTTTTTGATTTTTGTTGTGTTGTGCACTACTGGGCCACCGTACCCATAGCATCTCCCTAGCAAAACACTCTACTGACCGCATAGCAACCCCCTCGCAACCATCCAGAACACTCTGTCACCTGCAAAGCAGCACTATAGCAACCAACCAGAACACCCTAGCAAACACATAGTAGCACCTTAGCAACTGTTCAGAACAATCTCTCAGCCACATAGCAACTCCCTAGCAACCATCCAGAACACTCCTTCACATGCAAAGCAGCACCCTAGCAACCATCTAGAACACTCTAGCAGTGCTTGCACGCTTTTCTTAATGTTTCTTTTTATCTCAATCCAATCATGTCCTGTTCTTTTTCATCTGATACATATATTCAAAACTGTTCTGGGAAACTCGCCTGTTCTGTTAGTGATTAAGATGGCTTTGCCTTGTAATTTTTCATGTTCCCTTCTGTGCTCCATACACTCTCTTTTATATGTGATACAAAGAAGCAAACGCAGCGGTCTTGAATCTCTGAGCTCCGCTCCTCTTCCCTGCCAAGCCAAAGAGTCTCGCCACACGGCCTTCATTCTACAAACCACAAAACTGTTTGATTACGAGGCCGTGCTCCAGCTCCAGCAGCAGGTGCTTGTCTGGCAGTGCGTACGGAGGGGCTGAACGTCTCGCCCGTAATCAGCGCAGCCTCCTCGCATGCATTTGCATTTCTAAAGAGAGCGGGAGGCTTGATTGGCTCCGAATCAGTAATTATGAACATTGTTTGCAGTAAACAGACACTACTCTTGGACTGTTTGCAAATGGCTGGCAGCAAAATGCCAATTATAAGATGGGGAAACTTCTACACCTACAGCAGAATTTGGGCGAGAACAACAGTTTTGTTTGTCAAACTTTTTTGTTTTATTTTCAAAGAGCGAGCTTGTAGCTGTTTCTGGTTTGCAGTCGTATCATAAACCGATTGTCTGTCAAAACTGTCATAAAATCAAAGTGTAAATAACAGTCTGGACTATCAGATTTCTTCTTAATGTCGCTATTCTAAATGTCATTTGGTCTAAAAATATAAATCGGCACATCTGATCTGAAGACGTTTCAGTGATTATTATGATCTAAAATGAGTCATGTAGTGAGTTAGTTTAACCGTATTTTTGACTTCCAGAGTGACGCGAGAACACAGGGAGAATCTGGTGAAACTGGCGAAGCAGTTCAGTAACAAGACCAAGGACTCGCTGAGGAGAGTACGGACCAACGCCGTCACTCGAGTGAAGAAGTCCAAAGAGAGTGTCTCTGAAGATACCATTCACTTGGTAGAAAAACAGGTGACGCAAATGAGGATGAACTAATAAAAATAGTTGGAGTATTTAGAATTATTATTTTTCTTAGTAGTAGTAAAAATATTCTTGTAGTAGTAAAAGTATTATTAATAAATAAATATTAACTTGAAGGTTGTGAAAGTAGTAGTAATGATGATAATAATAATAATAGTAAATATGAATACTTGTTTATTAATAAATTCATGTACAACATTATCGATAGTAGTAGTAGTATTAATACAAATAATTATTCATGTTTTAATTGTTGTTTTATTAATAAGTACATAAATATTAATTTTAAATTAGCAATACAACAAAATGTTAATAATAATAACTACAATAATAATTATACAAATTATAATTATAATAGAAAATACAATATTATTATTTTATTAATAATAAATTAATGTTCATTAGTAGCAGCAGCAGTAGTAGTAGTTTTAATACTTATTTTTAATTATTGTTTTAATAAATAAATATTAATTTGAAAGTAGTGGTAGCAGTAGTATTAAAGGGATAGTTCACCCAAAAATGAAAATTTGAAATTTATCTGCTTACCCCCAGGGCATCCAAGATGTAGGTGACTTTGTTTCTTCAGTAGAACACAAACAAATATTTTTAACTCAAACCGTTGCAGTCTGTCAGTCATATAATGGAAGTGAACGGAAATCACGGCTTCGAGAATAAAAAAAACATACACAAACAAAACGAAATTAAACCCTGCGACTCGTGACGATATATTGATGTGTAAAGACGCAAAACGATTGGTCTGTGCAAGAAACTGAACAGGATTTATTTTGTTTTTTACCTCTGATTCACCGCAATGTCTGAACTGTCCTGAGCGCGTCCTCGACAGCCGGCGCGTGACGCCTCTTCTTCTTCTTGCTTTACGGCGGATCGCAGATTTATAAGTGCATTACCGCCACCTATCTCTCAAATGGATCATTGACACTCCTAATTGAGATTGTAGATAGAGTGTCAATGGTCCATTTGAGAGATAGGTGGCGGTAATGCACTTATAAATCTGCGATCCGCCGTAAAGCAAGAAGAAGAAGACGCGTCACGCGCTCAGGACAGTTCAGACATTGCAGTGAATCAGAGGTAAAAAATGAAATAAATACTGTTCAGTTTCTTGTACAGACCAATCATTTCGTGTCTTTGCACATCAATGTATCGTCACGAGCCGCAGGGTTTAATTTGGTTTTGTTTGTGTATGTTTTTTTGACTCTCAAAGCCGTGATTCCCATTCACCTCCATTATATGACATCATCGTCATATATTTCCTATTAATGATCAATTAATGTGCATTAATTGTAATAGTAAATAATTATGAATAATATTTTAATTGTTTTATTCATTTTAATGAATGTTTTAGAAATAATACATATATTAATGTAATATTATTAATAATAAATATGAATACTAGTCTAATTATTAATAAATTAATATAAATTATTAGTAGTAGCTGCAGTAATGTTAATAAAATAATAATTAAAATATTATTAATAATATAATTGTTTTTATTAATAAATAGACAATAATTAGTAGCTTGTAGTAGTACTGATACTAATAAATAATAAATATTGTTGTTTTATAATTAATAAACAAACAAACAGACCAATAAATACCCACAACAAGGTATTTTTTTGCAGTCACACAAATGTGTAATTGTGTGAATATTGTATGGTATGTATGTGTAACTAATAACCACATACATTTGTTCTGTCTTTTGTTCTCCAATATTACCAGATTCAACAAATGGCAGACAGTTATGCGGCAGACATTGACAAACAGCTAGCCACTAAAACCAAGGAGTTACTCGGATGACAGCGAGGCCTTCCAAACTTTCAGAACGCCCCCGGTCCGTTTGTCTCGCTATCATCAGGTCAAAGGCAGTCAGCTGTTCTTGTGACTGGAACAAAAATCCCCCAAACAGAAAACAGTTAATGATCTTGGTGATGGAAGTGATGAAGGTGGTGTTTGGGTGTTTTTCTCATGCATAAACAAATGTCGGCGTGGCACGCCAGTGGCTTATGGTGCTTCTTGTGTTCACATCTCCAAACAAACAAACGCAGGATAAATGAAGTTTTAATGTGATTTGGGGTACTCCTCCTAATCAAAGCGATGCCACAAACGTGGTGTTTATGTAGAAAGCACTGCACTGAATGTAAACTCTGTGGTCTTTACAGGAGGCTGAAAGTCACACAGGATGGAGGATGAGAGCACAAAGCAACATGCTGCCAACATTTGTTTCACATTCACTATTGCATCCTAAAAATAGTCATTATTTTCATCTATATGATTAGATCTAGCCGTGTAAACTGAATAAAATGCATCAGTTATTGTCCTGGTGCTGTAGTGTGTGTGTGTGCGCGCGCATCTTTTGAATCATATTTCCACATCCGCTGTTCTTTGTTTATTAATGTTGAAACTTAATCCCTAAGATTATTCTAGAATGGCAATGTGAAATATATCTTCTTCTACCACAACATTTTTGAATTCTCAGTGCTCAATACTGATTCTGATTTTACTGGTTGACGAATGTTCCAAGGTTTTTTGGCTACACTCTTCAAAATCAATGGGGATTTTTGCAGCAAATGCTATAGAAGAACCATTTTACTTTTCCCGAAATAACTTTTCAGTGAACAGTAACCATTTTTAACCAAAATTTTAATTACATAGTAACCATTTTTCCTGAGTGTAAAGAACATTTTAATCATCTAAAGAACCTTTTCTCACTATAAATAACGGAAATGCAATGCAATGGAAATAAAGGTTCTTATTGGCATCAGTGGTTTAATTTAGAAACTTTAACATCCATGGAAATTTTCCAATGTACAATCAGTACTTTATAGTGGAAAAAGGTTCTTTAGATTATTTAAATGTTCTTTACACTAAGAAAAACAGTGGTTCTTTTAGGAACTGTTTACTGAAAGGTTCTTTGTCCTAGTCAACAGGAACATGGTCTGTTTCTAATCAGTTACGTAATAAAGTAGTTTTAGAGACAAAATATGAATGATAACTGTGGTATGAATAATTGACTCAGGGCCACTGACATTTTTTAAATGAACACACTTATGGTCTAACAGCTTTGTGGTTACATTATCACCTCCTTGTTGCGTACATTTTTAATAATACACCATTCCATCGTCAGTTATTCCTTACATATCCAGCACAATTTCTCACATGCCATTGGCAGTAACCAAAAAGCATTGTCTCTAATTGATGAAAACATGGGGTCGCTAAATAAACAAAAGTTTAGAGGAGCTAGTTCGCAGGCAGAGGAAATGGGCAGGTTTCCCCCGGTCCATATGTCAGCAATTTGGGGGCATTGTATACCTTGGCCTGAGAGAGAGGCTCATGATCGATGGAGGGGTGAAAATCCCGAGTCGCTGGCTCCGCACGCTGCCCCGAAAATTGCTTTCAGCTGATAGCTTCATTTCACTTGACATTTATCAAGTGGATGACTGTGTGTTTCTCTGTTTACCACTACCATGATGGAGTGGATTGCGATAGCAGCGGGGAGACCAAATGTTTTTCCTTCTGTGTCGCTGGAAATATATACATGTAAATTGGCTCTGTAAACTCTTGAATTGACAGTAAACTCGCATCGCAGAAATATATACGCTGCGTTACGGGGACCGTCACCTCTTGACCCGTGTTGGAACGGGGTCAGTGCGCGCGCAAAATCAAAACAATACATCTGCTATTAACCGAGATAAGTGTCCAGAGGCGTTTTCTGTCTTGCCATGTGGAAACGCATGAAAATCTTTCTTATTTCCCCCCCAGTTTGCATGCAAATGAGTTAGGACTGCACTGCATTATTCATCCTCTCAGTCTCGTGACAATGCTAGAACACTGATATGCTGGTTAGGTGGGAATATGAGCACTTTACAGACAACGGGGTCTCCAGCGAAGGAGCAGAGCGGTGCTATTATACGTTCCCTGATTACGGTCCACGCACGCATCTGTACTCGGAGATAGTTACCGGGGGCCTAGAGAGCGCGTTTAATCACTTCAGTGGCACCGAATTGGCTCCCGCGCGCTTGACGCGTCCTCGCCTGAAGTGCGCGAGCCACCCCGACCGCCTCATCAAGAATCCAATCAGTTTAAGCGTGAGACGCACTTCGCTGGAGATGAAAAGAGATTTTCTGTCGGGATGTCGGTGCCATAAGGGCATGATCACTGCATATGCAAAGTGGAAGGGAAATTAGTGCGGATTCTCTTCCCTCTGATAGTCATGCATATATCAGGGGAGTGTATAAGGAGTTAAAAACGAAGCCTTTTCTGACAAATGCATTATTCATTCTTGATCTCAGGTCAATCTGAGCGCTTTTTAAAGAATTACACAACTTAATATGTGGCTTGGTTGTGAACGGCAGACATGATGATAGCCTGCGTGAATGCGCGGTTAGATTTAACAGCCGCGTGCTCATGTCACTTCACACTTGAATTGGACTTCGAGCTCGCTGCTGTTATTCGATATCAGCCTAACAAACTTTTCCTCCCTGATCATTTATTATACTGCCTGTGAGGAAGCACAGAATCGAAATCCCTCTTTTTATCCCTATTTTTTCTACAGTTCATGGAATCTTTCAAGGTTCTTTATAGTGGAAAATGTTCTTTAGATCAGTGGTTCCCAACCCTGGTCCTGGAGGCACCCCAACACTGCACATTTTGCATGTCTCCTTAATCAAACACACCTGATTCAGGTAATCAGCTCATTAGTAGAGACTCCAAGACCTGAAACTGGTGTGTCAGAGAAAGGAGACATGCAAAATGTGCAGTGTTGGGGTGCCTCCAGGACCAGGGTTGGGAACCACTGCTTTAGATTATTCAAATGTTCTTCACACTAAGAAGAACAATGGTTATTTTAGGAACCGTTCACTGATAGGTTCTTTGGGGAACCAAAAGTCGTTCTTCTGATGAATCGCTGCGAAAACCTCTTATGCAACCTTCATGTTTTTGAGAGTGTATGGATGTTTAAGGTTCTCCATACTTTTGTATGCAGAAATATGATTGGTCATTTATTTCTTGCATCACGTTATTTGACAAACTCAGTTTTCTTTCCTTGCATTTACATATTTCCTGTTGAAATCAGAAGTTGAGACAGGACAGATTGAAGGACTTATCCCTTAAAAATGTCTTTATAATAATTAAAAAGTAGCCAGTAGCCACAGCTAGGAACTATTATTTGCTACTATATTCAGGTTCAGGTGGTATTGGAGGAAGTAGAGGGAGGGACTTGTATATTTTGATTGGACAAAATGGGTCATCAATATCTGTCGATATTCCACTGTCGATAAGTGGAAACAAGGACTTTTTAAATATATATTATATTAAATATAGCCTACTTAAAGCTCTATATATTCTTTTTTTCTTTAAATGTAAATTGCTTAATATAATTTTAGGACTTTTTGCTGTCTTCCAAGCACTAAAATGCAAATCTGATTTGTATACAAAATGCAAACTATTGAGCTTAATCAGGTTAGAGGCCATATTGAATTTAACATGGAAACCAGGCTGTGTGAGAGAGACTTACAGTCTTTACAATGGCACAAACTGTATAAAGGTCCTAGTTCATGTACAATTTTCAAAACTCACAACTTTCATGGAATATCTAATGAAAGTTTGTTTTTTTTTTTCACGGAAAAAAATTTTCATCGGCTAGACAATCGGTTGTTTAACATCAGCACAATCCATTGAACACACTAGCCTCGTTTTCATTTCTGTCAAAAATTAAATATGGAGCAAACCTGACTTAGGTCTATTCTAGTTGGGATTTTAGTCTGTGGAAATAGATTTCCTTCTGGTTGCCCTCCATCCAACCTGAACGACCTAAACCTGTGCTATATGTGCAATTACATCCTGGCCCAGGGTGCGCTCATTAGATGAATCCTATTGAACAGAAACGTCTTTGAGTTTGAAGTGGTTAAACTGTCATTTCAAATCGTCTGGACCTTGTGATTACCGGCACGGGAGGAATTATATATTTAGCTTTAAGTCCGTAGTGATTTCCTGCCCCTGTCTTGATCTTATGTGACTGGAGCTCTAGATACCCTCATTTCCACGGAGTCTCGATATCCCCGCGGGAGGACTGTAATCAACGTCTCAAAGCACGAAGAGACGCGAGATGAGGCGAGTGGGGGTCACGGCATACATGCGCGCATGCACAAAGCTGTCTGTGCTAAGCACATATTATTCATAAGTCTTTACTGCACAAACGGGAAGGGAGGCACCTGCCATGCAAGTTAGTTAAAGGGACACGCGACTGGGGTGAGAGGCCCCTCACTGAGCCCCTGATCACAAGTGACAGTGCAGCTAGAGCGAAGGGGAATGAAAGTGGACTGCAGTTTTGTGTCACAAACAGATTTAAAGATTGGCGGTGTGACTGCTGTCTAAGGCCACCAAGATTTTTCAGCCAGTAACATCTAAAAATACACTTTACTTGAGGAATGAAGTTGAGGTGGTAGAAGTCTCACACACTGACTAATATAAGGTTCCAAAAGGGGGGTTTCGTATAGAACCATTTTTATTTCCGAAAAGAACCTTTCAGTGAAGAGTTCTTAAAAGAACCATTTTTCCTTAGTGTGAAACATTTTAGTAATATAAAGAAACTTTTGTCCATTGGGAAGATTCCATGAATGTTAAAGTTCATTCATGGAATCATCAATGTCAATCAAGAACCTTTATTTTTAGTGGCATAAAGTCTGGTCAACTTTGGCGCTTATTAACTGCCATAAGAACGACATGTAAAGCGACCAACCACATTGTATTTTGTTTTTATGTATCAATCAGAGGAGGCTCATCTGAAATAAATGACACTAGAATAATAGGCCGGCATATATTAAAAAAATTTATTAAAAAGGCATGGCAGTCATTTTTGTGTGGAAGAAACTGGTTGCAACTGTGTGTAGATGTCATGTTCAGAATTTCTCTCTGGAAAGATCTTTTAAAAATCCAGTTTATAACACATGTGCCAAGTTCTTAGTAAATATAGCCGCTTTCATATTGGTTTCATACAGTTTTGAAAAATTACAAAATTATTATACTAAAACTATAATAAATTTAAGAAAAGTTTTAAATTCAATGACTAAAAATGTCATGTGGTGCAACCATCAAGTAAAAAGTAAAACGTCTCAGGTTACGTATGTAACCATGGTTCCCTGAGAAGGGAACGAGACACTGCGTCCTCTAGATGTTGCTATGGGGGGAACGCCTTCAGCGTGACCGGTGTCTGAAGCATACATCTAAACACGACAATAACATTGGCCGGCGACAACCTATGGCGTCATTACCCGGCGCGATCACAGTATAAAAGGGCGCCGGGAGAATACGTCATCAGCTTCTTCGTCTGAAGCTTGCGTCTAAAGCATGGCAAGGGAACTAGAGGACGCAGTGTCTCGTTACCTTCTCAGGGAACCATGGTTACATGCGTAACCTGAGACATTCCCTTCCGAGGGAACTTCGAACTGCATCCTCTAGAGGTCGCAATGGGGAACGGTATGCCTATGCTGAGGGGAGTGCATGCCAG